TTTCTCTTTAACAGTAGAGGAATGTCCCATTCTCAAATGGGAAAACTTTTTCTCACCATAGGACAACTGGCAATATCTGGAGACATTTCTGATCATCAAGTTTGGGGTGTTGTTGGCATTGAGTGTGTAGAGGCCATGGGTTCATGTAGAGGCATGGCTTTATCCTACAGTGCACAGGATGGCCCCCATAGAAAGGAACTGCTCAGCCCAAAATGTTAATAGTGCTGATGTTGAGAAACCTTGCACTAGAATAGTACCATATTAATATATGGCTGGGTATTTCCTGCAGTGCCACCTTCTCTGGCCATGTCTGCCAGGTTACTTGGCCCTTTTAGCAATTCAACCTGTACTCTTCAATCCATTTCTTTGTAAATTAGTTGGAATGAACTTTGTTGATTTTTCTTCCACCAAGAATTCTGACCAAGAAAAATAGCCATGTGGAGGGCTGGACTATTATGTAGCTTATCTATCTACCATTGAGGGCAGGGGAGCATTCCAGGCGCAAATCTTGTCAAGCATAGTAAATCCCATTGAGGTAATATGTGCATTATCTATGTACAACACAGACATTACTGTAAACAGGTTAATCACCTAAATGACTCTCTAATCTGGGTAAATCTACATCTTCCAATTGTCTTATGATCACTAACATTATGATGCACCAATTTCCACATGACAGCAGCATTTTTCACTTTAATGTATTTTCTGCCAAATTGTCTTGGAGCTACAGATGGGTTGGGATTGGGGCAGAGCCACATTAGTGAAAGGAAACATATGAGCAAAGATATCTTCTGACTACAAGTTTTGTTTCAATTTTATGGCAACACTCTTAGCCACAAAGTCAAAACTTGACCAAGAAATTGGCTTGAAGGAGAGCAAGTCACATAGTAGAAAATGTGAACAACTATTCAGAAGGAGTCACTGAGGTCTTGCCTCTGCCCTGTGGCCAAGAACATGGGTGGTTCCAGTAACCTGTTCTGTAATTGAGCATGATAACAGTATCAAGCTCATCTTTATAAAGATTAAATGAGATACTCATTTAAGTATAATAATTAGCACAGAGACTTGGTGCATTGTAAATGTTCAAGAAATGTTGACATTGACATTGATAACAGCAATACACCTTGGAGGCCCTTTTGGCCCTCAGCTAACTCATCAGTGAAACAAGATAATAAGCCATTTTCATTGGCTTGTGCATGGCAGGGATGTAGGGAGTTCTTGGACATTTAACTGGTGCTCAATAACTGTTAGTCCTCACTCTCTTTCCAAGGGTTCCTCTTCTCCCCCCAGCTCTGAGACCCCACTGGACAAACGATCAGGGTGAAGGTCTCCTGTCCATGACCTCTGTCCACCACCATGGTCCTGCCTAACACCCTCGGAAGAGCACAGCCCAAATCCCTCATCTGCCCCCCACAACCTGCCTAACAGACTCTGTCTCCCACTCCACTGCTGTCATCCCGATTGACAAACTTGCAGCCAGCAGATCATACTCACAGTGTGAGGGAATCATTACCTCCTGCTAATATTTTTATAGAATTTCATAAACTTGGTCATTCATGAATCATTTACAGTACTTTATTCCAATGAAGAGTTCACAAATCACTCAAATGCTGGCAAAATGCATAATAATGAGTAATATTTCAGGAGGCTTTGCATTAATATGTCAGCTTCTAATACTTCAAGAGATAAATTATTTTGCCAGGTGCCACTTCAGGTCAGAAGCATGGGAAGTCCTTTTGGGGGCTGGGGCAGGGAGGTGCAGCAAGGTGGCCATGGGTTGTGGGAAGAGAGGGTATTTAACAGGTAATAGATCATCTGGCCAAGCAAACCCCCTTCCCAGGCCCAGGAAGAAGAGTTCCTAGGAAAGGGGCTAAGAAATTTACAGATTATGTATCAAAATAGAGACGAAGGTAAAATAGGAAGAAGTGTTTCTTAGTGACTGAAAATTCAGGGCTTTGGAGCTGGATATGGATCCCAAATCCAATACACACCAGCTGTGAGACCCTGCAAAAAGTTGTTTAACAGTTATTTGCTTATCTGTAAAATGGTGTTAACACCTACTTCTTAAGTCTCTTATGTGAAATGGATTAAATAAGAGAATGTATACAAAGTGTTTAGCACAATATCTGCCGTGTAGTGTTCAATAAACAGGAGCTTCAATGATGATACATACTCAGGGGCCCAAGAACAAATGTATCCCACTTTATTTCTTATCACACAAATCCCTGAGGCGTAGATCAAAGCGCTTTCCTGTTGGGTTTGGGAAACGTTTAACACATTAGCATGCACTTGCATGCGAATAGCATTTAATGTTAAAATAAACAACAACATTGGAGCAATTATGATAGCTAGACATTCACCCACACACTCAGCTTTTTAAACTTATAAGAGTAGAAGCTAAAATGTGGAGATTTGGAGACCTAGGATTCTGCTCTTTGAAGAAGCAGGTTTGCTACCAACAGTACTGACTGCCATGAATACAATGGACTTAACTGTACTACCAGACAGTAAGCCATTTCTAAATAGGTGCTTGAAATAGACTGGGATTGCAACATTCATGTGCCCAAAGTGTATCAACAAGACAGCAACCTAGTTCTCACTGAGTCCATCAATAGGAGAAACAAGGGCAGAGTGATCACGGACCTTTGTCAGCAAGGATTTGGAGAAAACCAGGTAATGGCAGAACTGAAAAGGCACGAGGAGGCATGGAGGGAAGTGGCGTTAGAAACTGACCCTCATGAGGCACATGAGGAGTGACTCAGGGGATAGGGCCCAGTTTGGCCGTTGCCATCCTGGTACTTGAGTAAGAAACTGCTTCCCCACCAACTACCAGCAGCCTTTCCAATGGGCACACGTGGCCCTGTGCCAGGAGTAAACCGAGCTATACTACCAACAAGGCACGGCATCCTGGCATGTCACCTACACACAGTAAAGAGGAATTTAAATCAGTTTATTCTGAAACAAAGCCTAGGCACTAAAATGCAAGATACGAGAAAGCTGGGAACCTGGTGTGTCCTGTTTCTACTGTATTCCCCCCACCTTGGAGAGCGTCCTCACCCTACAGAACATGTGCAGAATGATGAATGAATTGATCAAACAGTCGATGTACTAGGTAGTAGATTATGTAACTATCACAAATCTCAAGATCATTCAAGGAAAGTTCACGTGTGAGATGAGCACGTTGGGCCCATCTCAGAGTCCTTTGAGTTTTTATTTGCCTTTTGTTGACTTTAACATGATTAATCTCTCTCACTCGTATGGTAAGATTATACAGTCCTTAATATGTTTCCAGCATGCTTTAAATTCTTGACATGTATAATTCATTTAATCCTCATGAAATCCTATAATGTCATTATTATTATTATTTTATTTTCTAGGTTAGGAGGTTGAGTCAGATACCCTGCCAAGCTCCCACGGCTAGTATATGGTAGCCGTGATTTGAGAACAGCCAATCTGGCTGCACATAGAATCCATGTTTTTACTACTTTGCTATTATATGACCTCATGTTAGAAAAAGTATGAGAAGCTCCAAGCTACAGACCCAGCTCTATTGTACTAGCTAATTGGCTAGTAATTTCATCATCTATGATCCTTAGAGGTGCTAGTACTAGCTATGCTATATGCACAAGGATCATGAGATCAGGGAGTGTAAGAGAGTTGCCCAAGATCACACAGCTCAGTAAGCAGCAGCACTGAGACTTGAACGGCATTTTTCTGACTCTCAGAGCTCTTAATCACTATGCTATGAAATTATGAAATTTATTGTATTCTTCCTTAGTTCCTTGTGTTTGAAACTTAAAGGATACTCCCAAGACAGGCATGGAGAGAGAAGAGGGCACCTACTCGTGGTCTGCTCCTGGTTTTTCCTACAGTGGCTGGACACTCATAGCTGCCAGGTCACCTCTGGTTGCAGTCAAGGCTGACCGGGACTGGAAATTTCTGAGGGTGCCTACGTTCAGTTTCTACAACCACCAGATTCTCCCTTGGGTATATGCTGAGAGGACCCACAGCTCCCTCTTCAGTGCTCACTGACAGGTGATGCCCCTGTAGACAGATGCTCAGAAAAGCCTTTAGCAAGGTGTCCAAGGGGGAAGTCTGGAAGGCACCCTCATCCTCCCAGGACCAGGACCCTTGAGCACACTGCTCAGCATGGGATCCGCCAGAGGTGGGGACTCCGCCCCCTACCATCCTGCTACCACACAACATTTGTCTGTCTAGTACTTTATGCTTCCAATGTCCTTATCGTACCTTCTCCTCTCTAGAAATGCACAGCAATGTAGTTGAGTAAGAAAACCAAAGAAAACAATAACTCCCAAGCACAACCATTAACACTTTGTTTTTCTATCATTTTTCTTAAACACATACATAACACGTGTGCAAATAATCTGTAACAAGGATACCGTATGTATTTGTGTGTTCTGTTTCTATTCTTTCAATCCTTCTGATATAACTAAAACTTCTTCAAAAGAATTTTAATGGCTATAGAAAACTGCCTTGCAAAATGTGCCATAATTTAAACACTCCTCTATTGCTGAACATCTAACAATTGTCTCCATTTTAAGGACTATGTCCTGCTATAGCATGATTGTACAAAAATTGAGCTAAATTCCTCCCTATTTCCTTAGAATAGATTTCTAAAAGTATACAATTATCTGGTGCAAGGTTTTATACCTTTTACAACTCCAGATCATCAAGCTATCTCTGGAAAGCCAACGTTGACCCTGAAGGCGTCACAGAGGAGGTTCTGACCTCCTCTGAGATGCCCCCAGGGTCTCCCTTCTTGGTCTCCAGTAACCAAAGTCTGATGAAGGCCTGGGGGCTCCAATGATGAGGCAGCGACCCCCACTGTGACCCTGTTGGGGTGCAACTCCACTTCAGCTCCCACAGAAACACCCTAAAGCCATACAGCCCTGGGTTTGCTAGGCGCAGAAATAATGAGCTCAGTGGGAAGAAAATAATCTTTGAAATACACGCAGGATAGGGAGGTGAGGGGCACTTACTTGATAAGTAGCGATCATTTCTCTATCCAAGGACCGTGTCACCGAGACGCTACCCGTGTTCTCATTGATTCTGAAAATTCCTTTAGGCTCTTGATCCACTCCCTTTCCAGTGAGCCGGAACTTGGACCCTTCTGGTCTGTCACTATCGACTACCTGGTCAGAGAAACAGAGTGACATTTAAAACTGCCTGGAAAACATAGAGAAAGCACATTAAAAACATAACTCAGTGACCAATCTACTAATCACGGGTGACAACACAAAGGTGCCTGCAAAGATTTGACTAAAGCAGCATTGCCAAAAATAGAATCACTGTTTAATACGTTTTATCCTGACATCCAAATCTTAGCAGCTGTCGGCTGGGGAAGCTTCCCAGCACTCAGGTGACTTGTAGTGATGGACCAAGGAGGGCAATGACTTCAAATTGGGCATTTATATTATTTTTAATATAGGAAATAGAAATTTGTTTTACTTTCTCTGCAAGCAAGACCAAGTAGACAATGGAAACAATTTATTCAACAATCCTATACTGTGCAATCATTGAGGGATGTTCTAGATATTTGTATGTATCCAGTCATCAAAAGTGCCACCTTCCCCATAGAGTCAACAAGGTACAAAGCATAGTGCTGAGAAAACAAAAATATATATGTATACTTAAACCTCAAACAATGCTGGGGGTAAGGGACATTATTCCCATTTAATGGATGAAAACAGTGAGGCACAGAGAGATTAAGCAAGATGGCCATGGTCAAAGCTGTTGAAGAGATAAAGAGATAAAGATCTCCATTTCTCTGGAGATACCGCAATATAACACTGTCATTTCTGAATTTTATTTAAGGAATTTTTCTACAGATAGTCAGCCTTGATTTGACATTTGAAGAATAAATTCAGAAGGTAAAGTGGAGGAGCATAGTTCCAGGTAGAGGGAACAACACAGTCAAAGGCAGCAGGCAGAAGAGGGAGAGCCTAGAAAATTCCAGAAATGGTGAGTCATTAGCATGGTTTATATAGAGGATAGACTGAGAAGTATTATAGTTAGGGGTCAAATTATGGGAGGTCTTTTGATGGCATTTGAAAGTTGCAACTAAAGAGAGAACTGTTATTTGCATAAGTGGTTCTAGAATTTATCCTCAGATATTCATCTACATGTAAGGTCACTTTATCATCAGAACCTTCAAAGGTTAATTTGATTATAGCAAAACAATTTAAAGGTCATAAACACAATAGATATTCAGGATATACAGATAAAAGAAATCTGGATACAGATCCAGCTGCAACCAACTTACAAATGAGCAGACATCTATTGAAACACACTCAACATCAGCATCCCCCAGAAGCCATTTCTACAGCCACCAAGCCTGCAATTCCGATGTTTGACACTAGGTGGCAGTCATGCCTAAGGCAGCATGAACTTTACGATAAGGTTCACTTGGCAGGAGCAATGGCAGCCCAGCAAGGCATAGTTCCATATGGCAATACAGGCTTTTTTTTCTGATTAAAAAATATTCTTTATTAAAATACATTGAATGTTTTGATAAAACACCAATTACCTATGTTTGCATTTTTAAGATTAACAGAAAATTGGATATAAAGGAAGATTAAAAATAAGGTATGTGATATGAATTTTTAATCACTGCTTGACTTGGTTTAATCCAACTAACATTCTCTCCTGACCTCTTTCCCCCAGCTTGGAAGCCCCATGAAGTCAAGAGCCGCAGCTTACTGGGCCCCCTGTGGGGTCCCAGTGCCTGGCACACAGCAGCGGCAGACACCAGTATCTGCTTGGTGAAGAATATCACTGTTCAGACATTCACATGTCACAATCCCAGCTCTGCCAGTGATCAGCTGTGTGACTTTGAACATGGTCCTTTGCCTCTTGAGCTCTTGCCTCATAATTAAAATGGGGTACCACTACTTATTTCCCACGGTTACTGAGGATTTTATGAGATAGTGAACACACAGTGCAGTTCCTGGCAGAGAGAAGGGGCTCAATCACAGCTAACAATTGCAGTGCTAATAGTAATAACGACAGCAGAATCATACCGTTGTTAATGGGTAAGGCTGATGCCTGCAGGCATAAAGAGCATCTTAGCCATTGTGTAAGAAAAAGTCCATTTCTGAAGGAACTGATTTCCTTTATAAAAACAAAACTTGCAAACTTGCCTGAAGAGAAGTGCTCTGGAAGCAGACTCCCTGGGTGGGAAGGGGCCCTGGGTGCACACGGCTCTTCTCTGTTGCTGCCATGGTTATCGCGGTCCCCACTGCCTTCCCACCTCCACCCAAATGTGGATTCTCCTGTTCTCCTAGGCACACCTGCCATAGGCAGGTCCTCCCTAAGAGGCCCTGTTGACCTAGAACACATTCTAATGGGAAGTGAACATGGGAATCCTACAAGAGCTATGGAGAAACTGTGCTTCCCAGGAACGGACATCTGACCCCATCTGTCTGCCAGACACAGGCGCCCCTGGTGAGGACCTGCCAGGAAAAGCCTTCTGTGCTCTTTGTTCCCCCTTCTTAAACCTTCCCTGCTCCCAAAAAAGTTGGGAACGTAGCACCCAGACTTTCTGGAAGCAGCACCATTGGGGGTGTGCCCTTTGGAGCAAATATCTCTACTATCTCATTTCTCTACCTGGTGCCCAGCACAAAAAGCTGGATTCTGGACTCAGAAATTCCCTGAGGATGACTTTTCCCTTCTGCTACCAAGGTTGGATCTGGGTCATTTCTTCTTGCTATCTCACAGAGCTTGAGCCACTTGAACTTATGGAAGCAGGGTCTTGGGGTATTTGAGAGAGGACCCTGTCAAATTAGCACTTGCTGCTGGATTCAAATGATTTATTCCCCAGGGAAGGAGAGCAAGTCCCCGTCATGAGGGCCTCTGCTTTGCACTGCACAGTCTCTATGTATTTCTCTCTGTCTCCCTCTCTCTGTTTTTGTGTTCTTAAGGGTGTATCTTTTGATATATTTGTTGAACCTGCTTCCTGGTCCTCAGAAGGCACATCCCAGAAGGATGAGCCTTGTGCAAGCAGGAGCACCAGGAATTGAGGGGCCTCATTCTCTCTGGAACAATTGATCTCCAGAGGTGCTTCCCTGGAAGAGTGTCTGTACCCCTGGGAACTCCTTAGAAATGCAAATTTCCAGCCTTCACCCCAGCCTCCTGAATCAGAAATGCAGGGGGTGAGGCCTGGCAACTTGAGCTTCAATAACTCCTTTAGGTGACTCTCAAGCACACCTGAGTTTGAGGACAACTGCCTTGGACAGATTTCAGTACCATCCCTCTTCAGGGTGACTGAGGCTGGTGTCTACCACTACTGTTTGGAGCCTTCTGCTAAATATAGGCTGCATCTGTTTGCTCCCTTCTTTCTAAACCTATTTTAAACATATAACACTAACAGGAACTCTTCTAAAAACCTGTTTCTAGGATCTCAGTAAAGGAGAGTAGGTATTTTCTCAGAGGTGCTAGACCAACATCTCTTCATGTATCAAAGGCACCCCAGGGCTTGGAGGAACCTTCAAGAGGAAAGTGTGAGAGTGTAGGGTTGCTTTTCAGGAAGAAACTGGGTGTCTTGGCTCAATTTAGATTCAGGAGGAAGCTCGAGTCGCCTGAATCATTCACCACCTCTCTGGATTCTTGGTCCCTGGTTGGGTTTCCAGAGGGACCCCAACACACTCCAACCTCGCTGAGCTGGGAGGTAGCAGCTATGCAATGGCTATAACCCTAGGGGTGTCCTTAGCCACCCATCAAAAAAATATTCCATGCAAATTAAGTGGGTTTCCAGGAGACTTTTATTACACTATGTTAAACTCCTAAAAATTGTCCAGATGCTACTCTACAACTTCAGCAGCCAACCCTGTAGTCCTTTCGTTGTTGTTGGTTTTTTTACATGATGAAACAGAAGCACTCCAGGGCACTCTTCTGGCCAGAACAAACCCTGCCATGAGTGTCTCCCCTTGCAATAGGAGTTAACACCCATTACACCACATAGCAGGGCTTCACAGTCTTTCCTATTATTCTTTGTAGTTCAACACTTCTTTTTCACAGTGGGACTTTTTTTTTCTTGTTCTCTGAGTTGGAATGGAAAAAATAGCTAATGAGGAGGAAGAACTTGGACCCCAGCTGGCAGCACTCTGGAAGGGATGTAAACAGCACAGGGGCGTCTTGCTGCACACCTGGGTGAAGCGACTTCCCTGCAGGCTGTGGGGGTAGCCTTGCACAGCTGGGACCAGAGTCCTGCATCCAGGGAGAGGCAGGAAACACTGAGGCCCCAGCAGGTAGTGAGGGCTCCATCTGAATTTCAAAGGGTGTACTTGATCTATGCTTTTGGCTCATTGTGATACAATGTGGATAAGGCCAACCTCCCTTTAGGTTCCCCCTACTAAGCCCTGTTCCCACCTCTATTCTCTGCTGCAAGTAAGCGATGATGCCATCTTGTATGTGTTTTTAAGCAGACGTGCCCAACCTTTTTGGCACCAGGGGCTGGTTTCATGGAAGACAATTTTTCAACAGGTTGGGGCCGGGAAGGGGGGGGCCTCAGGCAGTGATGCCAGATGCCAGCACAATGGGGAGAAGCTGCGAATACAGATGAAGCTTCACTTGCGCTTCTTCCACTGAGGGGGCTTGGGGGGCAGCAGACATCTGTGGCCTGCTTCCTGACAGGCCACATGCCAGTACCAGTCCATGGCCCAGGGTTTGGGGACCGCAGTTTTTAAGGGTTTTCTTTTTTTTTTTTAATGAATTTACATACATACCTAAGGACTCATTCATAAACTATATAGCAGTTTTTCAATGTTTTTACATAATAGGATCTTTATATATGGATTATAATATACTTTTTCTACTCAATGTGTCTGGGGTATATATGTACATGTGTGTATGCATTTATGAACTTCGTAGGGGGTGTAATTTTAGATTTACAGAAACATTGCAAAGATAGTGCAGAGTCCTCATAGATCTTGCATCCACTTTCCCCTAATGTTAATATCTTACCTAACTGGATAAGATTGGTCACAGATGAGAAATTAATGCTGATACTTGACTATTAACTAAGCTTTAGATTTTATGTATTCAGATTTCACCACTTATTCTACGTTTATCATTTTTCTGATCTAAAATTTAACCCAGGACTCCCCATTGCCTTAGTGAGTGTGGCTTCTAATCA